TAGATAGTTATCCGAAAACATATGGGCACTTCCGATCACAGCAAACTTCCCTTCCTTTGGAGACTGTAATAAATAAATAAATACCAACTGTATGTAAAAATATTTTTTTCTGAAAGCATGAAGAAATACGTAATTCTAAGGCTCTGTTTAGAAATCTTTTAAAACGATAATTTTAGCTAATGAATTTCACAAAATTAATGAAATCAGTTTAAGTTTTGAATTTACAAATGAAGATAGGATTAGGGCAAATGTCGTTCTCAATGATTATATTATAAAATTAGTCTCATCATGTAGGAGACGTGACACTTATGGAAGGTATGTCCAGATTTAAGCAAATGCTGGAGAGGACCAAGAACTAAAAGGAGAAACTTCAAAACAACATATCTCGAGAACATTCTAAAAATATAGTATATAAAATAATACTTTTCGAAGTCTTAGTTTATCAGAGATATGTTAGCATCCAAATAACTCTCAAAATATGACTCTAGGATCGTTTAAAACTTTTACTAACAAAGGAGCTTTAATCGAAAGTATGAAGATCAAGATGGAGTGACCGCTTGTATGGTCGTGGTCTCCTTAAGTAGTATAGTAGTTGCTTGACGTTGTTTTCGTAAATTGATCATATTGGCAGGAAAACCTAAAGAAATGCACATAGTCCGTAGGACATAATAATTTCAAGAGTTGGATCGTGGACTTGGTACATTTCCAGACGATTCGCTGACATCGTCAATGAGCCTTGCCACTCTTAGCGCTACACTATAATTCGTAAAAGAGATAATTGAAGTCGATACTTTGGTCAAATGTATGTTAAACAGTTGTAGTATCTCTCCTGTCCTGGGCTATTCACCTATCTTATATCCTCGTATCACAATTTTCTAATGCTTTTGAGCGGATTTCATAAAGCTTATTCACTCTCCACCCTGGCATTCTCACCCCGATTCTCAACCTTTGTGCTGGAAATCTTGATCTGAGTCTGCCATATTATTCCGCAATCCTCTTCCAATATGACCTATCAGAGTCATCCTCATTGCGCGTAGGATCGGTCTGCTATATCTCTTGTTCAGTTATTCAACTTTACCCCTGTCACTCAATCTGTGCTACATAAGGCATTATCAATCACATTCTGCTTCAAGCCTCTGATGGCACGTATACTTAGGTTTCGCTGTTTAGGTCCGCAAAGTCATGAAAGTCACAAGCCACTGACATCCTCGGGAAAATAAATTCAATAAAAAGGCGATTGGAAGGCACAGTTAGCAATAAATTTGCCTACTGCCTTAACAAACTCGGGGAAAACAAAGATATGGCAAGACCAACAAAAAGGAGACGCTTGGATCAGGACCTATCGTTAACCGGAAGAAAAGAGATCGCGATGAGGAAAGGGGGGTCGGGGAGTTTAGGCAATCAAGCGAAGACGTTGGCAGTGCGTGATGTCCTTTTTGAATAAACCAGTACAACTTTGGGGGCCTGGCAGTCAGGGAGCTAGGCGGACGGATAAGCAAAACCTCACAGAAATTCGACAATATGTCCAAAATGTACTAGAAATCCACTTGAGATGCCGCATGCGACCAGAGATAGGCGTCCACAGTTTTCTCAGGTAACATGGGTTTAACCAAGGAAAAGACACATGAAGGGAAGGCCTGATATCTGCAGGCATGGGAATTAGAGCCTAGGTGCTTAGATGAGCAAAAGGGAGAGGAAATTTAGTAAATCTAGAGAAGACGTTCTCAATGAGTGAAGTCTGTTCTAAAATACCACTACAACTTTGGAGGCCTGGCGGTCACGGAAATAAGGAGACGGATAAGCACAACTGTACCATAAATTCGGCATTACGGTCAAAATGTACTATAAATCCACTCGGGATGCAGCAGACAGCCAGGGATAGACGTTTACAGTTTTCTCAACGTATACGGATATAATCAAATAGACTTCACTTGAAATTAAGGCTTTATATCTGCAAGCATGAGAATCAGAGCCTAGGTGCTCTGCTCGCTGAAACGGCCGTGTACGCGCTTCTAAGGGCTTGAGAAATATCGCCTTGAGTAAGACGCACACTGGAACTAGAACCGTGTGGAATCAGTCAGCCAAAAAGATAAGAAACAGAACTACGAGACCATGAGAGTGATCCGGAAAGGAGGCCCAGTCGGATTAGCCGATCGAATGAGAGAGGGACCAAGGTCAATAGCAGGTGTGAGGAGGCTACGCTAAATTTGTTAAAAAGAGCTAATCTTTTGAAGAGTAA